AGTATACGTATCCCTAGGCAACTAACGCCATCTAAGCTCTAGAAGAGGGGTAGTAATTAGTGTTAATCTCTAGCTTATCCTAAATAGATGCTTAATATTATCTAAAAGTAGGATTAGCACTATTACTAAGTATAGAGATATTTAGTATCTTTTTAGATTATCTCTTAGCTTTTATAGTATATACTATAGGGTTTAATATAGAAGCTAAAGACTAGCTAGGTTAGGTAGTACCCTATATCTCCTTATAGAGGGAGGTATTATACAACTAATTAGTAAGTTACTTAACTTATTCCTTTAACCTCTTCTTTTTAGATAGGGTTAATATATATTTATCTTTAAGGGAGGTGTTGCTTTAAGATTTCCTAGGAGCACAAGGTACCTTAAGGGACAGATAGGAAGCAGGTCCTTCTAGGAGGGCGTTGTTAATTAAGTCTTCCTTATCTAATTTCTTTCTATTAGTAAATAGGCTTTTAAAAGTAGCTAAACTAGATACCCTTCCTTTGCCTTTATCTAATATTTTGTAGTTAATAAGAATAATAAATCTTTTCTTTTTAGGGGGGTTTAGTTATAGGAGGATATTAGCTTTGCCTCTAATTCCTCTAGGCTTTTAGTAGTCTCTAGGTCTCTACCTTAACGCAATCTAACGCGATTTTTCTAAAGGTAATCTAGCACTACTTATAGGTCTAGAAGTCTAAGCCTATAGGCTTTAGTTATTAGAAGTTCTAATAGCTATTCTAACTATAGAGTTGTAGGGTTAGATAGCTACTAGAACTAAATTAGTAGCTGTGGAAGTTTGGATCACTGAGGTCAGGAATGATTTGGGAGATGGATCATTGGATTGTATCTACTACGATCGGACTCATATATATAGAGCTTCAGCTACCCTTACCAGAAGGTGAATAATCGGTAAACCTTCCTTACCAGAGCTCCTGCTTTTTGTTGGGCACTTGGCAGTGAGCTGGCAGTCAATCAGATAGTGGGTCATACAGGGGTATTGACCAGGATTGATCGGGATTGATCGGGATCAAGATGCTCCGTGATCCAGTTGATATCCCTCCTGCAACAGTAGCTTAAAATAATAACAAATGCAATATTCTTAAATACTATTACTAGCTAGAAAGATGTTCTTCTTATAATATAATAACTTAGGTAAGTAGGGCATCTAAAAGGTATCCTATATAACTTAAAGGTATATAGGAGTGCGCGTCTATATAGAAAAGGATAAGATTCCTACACCTATAGGTCTTATATAAAAGGATAAGAAGAACATGCCCATTCTAACTATAGGCGAGCTATTCTCTATATACATAAGTAAGTCAGGCCTTTATTAGGCCTGACTTGGCATAGAATAATAGGCAGGCAATTCTGCCCTATTGTTACACTAGGTTATTCCTAGTTTTAGCTAATATAAAGTAATAGATTAGGGACTGTATAATTAGCGCATATAGCACTTTGCTTTAGAGGGGTGTTATTTAGTTAATAGTATAGGAACCCCTTATAACTACTATTATATAGTACGTATATAAATTAGGTCTAGTAGGATATCTAGGAAAGAATATAATATTTTAGATACTACGCTATAACTATTATTAGGATAGAATATTAGGAGATATTGCGTAGTATATTTAGAACTACTACTATTATAATACTTATATCTCCTAGAAGCGCTAATAGGGTCTATTATAACCTATACTAGTAGCGTTATAATACTAGTCCTAAATATCTATAGATTTTATAGTTAACCTACTTGCAAAAGATTATAGCAAACCTTAGTTTCTATTAGTTATTACTAATAGATTATCTAAATATATTTAGCTTAAAGTATTAGTCTCTATAGCAGCTAATTATTATATAAGGATCTTCTAGGATAACTAGTAGTAGTTCTAGGGCTTCCTATCCTCTATTATTACTAACTAAGGCTTAGACTAGTTAGGATATTTCTAGATAATACTATACTAGATAATAAAGATAAACTAGTTACTATCTACTATATACCACCCCTAGATAGATAGCAGGATAGAGTAGGTAAACTAAGAGGTATAGGTAGTGCTGCGTATAATAGTATGCTTTAAGTAGACTAAGTAGCCTAACTACCTACTAGCCTGCTAACTTACACTTAATAATAGGGACTCTACTATAACTACTATTAGCCTAAATCTACTTTTAAATAGGTATACTATAGACACGCTATAAAAGATAATTATACTACTAGTAAAGCCTAAGAATCCTTATAGGGAGGCTATAGCGTTCTTGTTACACCTATAAAGGGGTATAGAACTAGTGTAAGCTACTATTATATTCTAGTAGTAATAATAATAGGAGGTAATAAACTAGTCCTAACACCTAGCTAAAAAGTTCCTAAAAAGTAATATAGTTTATTTTAGAATATATAATATAAAGATAAACTAACTAAGTAAAAGGTTTAACTAGCTATAGGTAAAGTATAAAGTAATAGAAGTCCCTACTCTACTTATAGTAGTGTTAGACTTACTAGGGAACTTATATAAGACTATATATATAAATCTACTAGAGAGAGCTACTAATAATCTACTACTAAGCTAGAAGCTTTAGCACTTATAACTAGGCCTAATAGATACTCTAGAAAATAAAGATATAATACTAGATAAATAGGAAGTAGAAAAGATCCTATATATAAAGAATATAAGAGGAAAAAGAAAGTAATAAGTCTTAGTAAAATAGAAGGGGTATTTTAATCTAATATAGCACCTACTAGAGGTAGTATAGGCTATTAAGGCTCTAGATAGGTTTAAGGAATAGTATAGGGATATTACGTATAAGAATAGCCTAATATGTATAAAAGCTAGGAAGCAAGGGTAGAATAAAACTAGAATAATAACTTAGAACTTTATTATAATTAAGAAGTAAAGGGTACTAAAGTTAGCTTTTATTTACTCCTAATAACACTCTAGGTAAGTGCCCTACTAATAAAACTTTATAATATAGCTAACTACTAAGCGGCAGTGTCTATACTATTATTATCTACGCCTAACCCCCTACTAGCTTCTCCTTAACTATTATCTATATTATTATAACGCTTTTATATTTCTTAGTAGTAGTAGTAGCGCTCTTATATAGTATAGGTAGGGGAAGAGTTAGTTAATAAGTATAAATAGTAGTAGTAGTAGTAGGATAAGGGTAGTGCTTTAATAGTCTACTAATATATAGCACCCTAGGCCTAGAGAAAAATAAGTGTTAGAATAAATATAAGGGAATAAGGGAAAATTAATACTAATAATAAGAGTCTTAATACTATAGGTAGTGCGCTTAGTAGCGCTCTTAAGCTTATTAATATAAAGGTTAGTTTAGGCCTAAGTCTTATTTATACACTAGTTAATACGCTAGAAGGAAATACTAGTAGTAGTAGTAAGCTATATAATATTATTATTACTATAACTATTATATAAGGGTATAATAGTAGACTAAAGTAGAAATACTAGAGTACTAGTAGTAGATAGGATAATAGCACTAAGCTAATACTAATTATAGACGCGTAAGTAAGTAGAGGGAGCAAGTAGAGTAATAGTATTATTAGTTTAGGTCCTTAATATAAGATCCTTAAACTAATAGTAGAGCTAGTAGAATTATAGTATAAACTAGTAGTAAGTGCCTTTAGTAGGTTTTCTTATAAAAGTCCTAAGGGTCCCTTTCTTTATAATATAGAGGTAATCCTTCTAGTAACTATAATAAAACTAAAGCTAGTTATAGAGAGCTTAGTAGATATTAGGATTATTAGTAAAAATAGCCTCTAACCTAGTATAGGTCTTATAACTATAATAGTAAGACTTATATAAATACCCTAGATATAGTTAGAAATTACTATAAAGAATATAAAAATTAAGAAGAACTTACTACTACCTTCTTAATAGTTATACTTACTAAAGAGATAGAGTTAGTTAATATACTAATTATAAGGAAGTAGCTTTATAAAACTACTATTATAATCCTTATTATCTAAGTTACTAGAAATAGTAAAGCTACTAAGTAACTAGGTCTAGAGAGATATATACTAGGTAAAAAGTTAGTATAGAAAGTATTAGGAGAATATTAGGAGTATATACCTTATCTTAGTAGGCCTAGTGTAGGGTCTAACTACCCTATAGTAGATCCCTACTACTAGTACTAGTAGTATTAGATAGGGATATAGTAAAGGTAATAGGGGCTAGATTAATAGAGAAAGAGTAGAAAGAAGGCTAATTAGTAGGGAAAATTAGTTATATAATAAAGTAAGTTTAGGAAATTTATAGTAGGGTAGGATAGCTATATTAGAACTTTTATAGTAGGGTGCTAAAATAAGTATATAGATACTATATATATATACTACTTAATATATAGACCTATTATAAATTAGAAAGGAATATAAAGATATAATAATAAAACCTAAAATATATAGTAATAAAGCCTAATATAGATTATAGAGAATAAAGATATAACCCTAGACCCCTAAAAAGATAATTTTATAATAGCTTATAGGGAAGGTTAGGGGTATATAAAGGGCTTAGGCTTATACCTAAGCCTAGGCCTAATAAGATAGACTAAGTCTAATACTACTACTACTAAGCAAACACGCTACACACCTATAAAAAGGCGTAGAGGGCTTACCTCTCCTTTAAGATACTAAATACTATTATTAACGCTTATTGTATTCTCCCTTAAGGCCAGTCTATAATACTTACACTATCTCCTAAATAATTCCTAAGCTTAGTAATCTAAATTTCTATAATAATATTATGTATATAAAATATGTTTACTAGGCTATAGACCCCTGTATAGTAGGGTCTGGTTAATCTATGGATTACGACTTTGCGTTAGTCTATGGACGGACCCATTTTTCCTATGGTTAGTTGACATGCTGCCTCGTACCGGTACCTACGCGTCTCACCTCCGCGGCCAACCAAGCAAGTGTGACGCCATCACCAACAGCCCAAAAGCTTCCTCGACTCGCGCCGCGACCGACTGCGAAACGCCAAAACTAGGCACGAATGTCCTCGACGGCCATACCAAGAGTCATCCCCGCCCAGCTTTCCTTCCTCGCCATCTACAATCCGTCTCTGGGCCGGTCAGACGAAACATTTGACAAGCAGATTGTCTTCTACTACTCCAAGGCTGCCAAGACGCGCTCCAAACTCCACCATGGCGACACACAGCGAAAGGAAGCGCTGCGCGAACAGGAAAACGAAAAGCTGCGTCAGGTTGGGCTGGCTCAAGGCATGGTCGGCTTTGCAAAGTATAGGGCGCACATATATGACAACCGATTGAAGCGACGGCGTGGTTGACACAGGCACAGGAGCTTCTCCAACGGCGCAGCAGTCGACTCGGTAGAGACGCAAAAGTCGCGCATAGTCCTTCATGAGCTTGAAGATGGCTGGTGGATTCTTGCCGTAGGTTGGCATTCTTAAATTCATTCACGCATTCATGCAAATACGCGGCTAACTCAAGGTGCTCATCCAGTCCATTGACCTCACTCAGCTGCCAGCCATGGATGGCGCATCTCGAACAGACCCGAATACAGGTGGAGAGCCTGCGGTCGAATACTCGCCACGCGAAGTCAGTCCGCCTGCCCTCCTCATCCAGCAACTCGTTCGCGCCCAAACCACCTTTCTCCTCCATCATGGTACAACCCTCGAGGCCATGTTCGCCAAGCACGGCCGTCCCAAGTTCTGCAGTATACTTGAAAAGTACTGGAGTCGGTTTGCGGCCACGTGGGATGTGCTGCTGCATGGAAACCCTGCCGTGGACATCTATGGCGGTATGAAGCTGGCCGCAGGTGGAGAATTGGGCATGGGCGTGGGCGAGGAAGAATGGGGCAGCAGTGAGCGCGATGTCCTCGAAGACTTTGCGCGCAGGACAGACGGCCTGATTGATGTCATGGTCTCTCGCTTTGGCGAAGCGTCGCCCTTACAGCAAGCCAAGTCATCGACAGACCCAAAGCTACTCGAGGCTATCGAGGAAGAGCCCTGGATTGGAAGTGGGAGACACGTTCAGGCTGCCGAAGGGGTCGTCTTCTCAGGTATCGGTGCCATCAGCCGTAAATCGCTACGAGACCTGTCACACTGGGTCGAAACATTATACCACTACGGCGAGTATGCGTACGGTGTACACGACACGGTTACATCGGATCGGAAGAAGCGACAGCGACGAAAGCTGAAGCCAGATGCAGGGGCACGATCATCGAACTCACCGGCATCCAGTCGACAGGAGAGAAGCACTCTCAACAGGACAGATTCCAGCTCTACATTGCCACTAGGCATTCCTCCTCCGATTGTGAAAGCTGTAGAGAACTCTCTGGACAAAGCTTCTGCGGCAGTTACGAAGACCAAAGCAGACGGGAAAAAGGCTGCCATGCCAGAATCCAAGCCAATGCTGGCGTCCCTGGGCGATACTGAGACGTGGATGAAGTACATGACCCTAGGATATGCCATAGCATGGGGTGGCGGTAGCAGTAATCAGAACCACGACAAGAAAGCTCATGAAGCCCCTCAACCCGCCGCACCCTCTCCGGTTCGAAAACGTTCCCCCTCTCCAGCCGCCATGCGGTACATCGAGCCCGAGCCAGACATGGATGTCGCCGCTGAAAAGCGCAAACGGCAGATCCGGCTTGAAAACGACGGCTACTTTCTCATCGGCTTAAAAGGGCACATGCTTGACCTAGACGTGGACGATGACAATGAAGACGGCAACTGGAACAACCGCATTCCACTCCGCACCATCCATCTCGAGCTCGAGAGCCAAAAGGATTCCACTTCGACGCCTACCCCCAACGACTCTGACGAAATACCGCAATATGAGAGGGAGATGAATTTCGAGCCCTCCCCCGAGCGCAAGCTAACACGGTTGAGACCCGTAGTATACATTGTACGCCCCCCCCCCCCTTGCCCAACCATCCACCCAGAAGCACAAAGCTAACGACCTGATGCCAGCACCGCCCCTTCATCTACACCTTCCTCTTCTCACACCAAACCTACACCCTCTCCCTCTCCTCCTTCTACCGCGACATCCACACCTTCTTCTCCCCGCTGCACCGCTCCCTCGAAAAATCAACATCCCCGCACCACATCGCCGCACGCATCGCCGCCGCCGCAAACCCACACACCACAATCCCATCTTCCCCTTCTACCCCCCAAAACACAAATCCCATCTACGACCTCGTCTACGATCCCCGCACATACAACCTCCACACCAGTCTACCCAACATTCCGGACCCAGCGCCGTTGGTCCCGCCGAGCAAGACCCAGGCTGCGTGGAGTAGACCCGATGCCCTCGCTATCCATACGCATATTCTGAATACGATTTCCTCGACCCGTCGCGATCCGTCGGAGATTGAGCGCTCGGGGAAGACGGGACGGGGATGGTGGATCGTGTGGATGAGACTTCCGCCTTCGGTGGATGAACGTCAACGTCAACATGAACATCTATCTCCACCCCCGACTTCCCAACCCTCGTCCGAAACCGCCAGCCAAACCACACAAACACAATCACACCCCCCTTCCCTCTTCAACCCCACCTCCCTCCGCGAAGCCCTCCTCATCCGCAAAGCCCCCTCCTCACCCTCATACCCGCCCCTTTCTTCCGCATCCCCCGCGCCCCGGTCTAGCGTGTGGAGTGCATGGGGTATGGGGACCAGGGGCTTGGGCTTGGGTGGGGATGGGGGAGGGGGCGCGGGACATGGGGCGAAAGAGGCGAGGGCGAGGGGGTTGGTGGAGGGTGTGGGGGTTGATGCGAGGAGGTATGTTGAGGGCTTGTTGAGTTTGAATCGGTAGGGGGTGGAGGGGATAGATGGGATGGGCATGGTCATGTTGAATTCCAGTTCAAAGATGTGGGTTTTTACACTGCTGACATATAAATGTATACACACATATATACCATCCCTCTCCCCTCCCTTCCCCTCTCCTTCCCACCCCCCCTTTGTTGTTTTCCCCATACCTCTCCCCCATCCCACCATCCCGTCCTATCCCATTTCCCCCAAATCCATCCCATACCTCCATCCATCACCATATCGCAGCTCAAACATTTGAATATCCATATAAACTCCCATCAAGGCGCATCACCAAAAAAAACCCCAGCATGACTAGACATGACATCGTTGATATATTCATTTCAGCTTTCACTCTGCTTACTTCAACTCGACTCGACTCGACTCTACATATTTCAGTTCAGCTTCACTCATCCAGCTCACCTCCACCTTAAATGCCATCATCTCCCATGACCCCACAACAAGACCGACGTCTCCGCCGCGCCTCCACGGCGTCAAACGCAGCAGACCCAGCCCTGCGCTCACCCAACAACGCGTACGTCTCCCCCCGTCTAAGAGGTATCCATGTGCTCTGGCTGCGCAGAAGCAGCAGCCCCGGCACCGGCCCCCGCATCCGCACCTGCATCCACACCTGCGTCCACATTACCACCACCCCTCGCAGCCTCAGCCGCCCTATTCCTCTCCGCCATCTTCTCCGCCAGCACATTGGCCTTCCAATTCTGAATCTCAGCCTGGAGTTCCGTATTCGGAATGACGTCCTCAATCTTCAGCGGCGTGCGGTTAAACGGATCATGCGGGTCACTCAGCAAATGGCTCTGAATCGTGCTGCGGTCGACCACCTGCTTGCTAATGGGCAGGATGACGGGGTCCTCCATGAGCGTGGCGAGAATCGGGTCCGTGTATTCGTCTGGGTATTCGCCGAGGTCGGCTTCGACCATGTCGGCCTGTTGCTTGGCCGCGGCGATGCGCTGGCCCATGTCCTGCCATTGCGCCAACTCTTCGGGCGTCTTGAGCGAGAGCTTTTGTAGGATCCGGTAGGCTTCGTCCCAGTACGAGGAGCGGTAGGAACGGCCATCTGTGGCGACGGCGTCGATGAAGGATTGCTTGTCGCGCAGATTGAGGTACACGTCCGACACTTCCTGCAGCATCGTACGTGGGTTCCAGCCGTAGTCTTCGGGATTGTCAACCTGCAGGTCTTTGCGCTTGTCTGGGCTGACGAGGGCTTCAAGGTTGTAGTCGAGCATGTGTGCGAGGCGGACGACGACCTCCTTCTTGGTGAAGGAATCGGCCAGGGCTTCGGTGAAGAGCTTGAGCATGGCCACAGTTTCGTTGGTAAGCTGCATGTAGCTCTTGGCTTTGCTTTGCGCACCGGCAAGCTTCTCTTCCTGTGCTTGTCTAGCGGCATCGTCCATGTCTGGTGGGGGATTCTTGAGGAGCTTGGAGACTTCGTGGATCTCCTTGAACGCTGTGAAAGATTCATCTAGGACGAACGTGACATCGTTGAGGAGCAGATTGACAAACTGCACGAAGAAGTCGAGGTTGACACTGTGTCTGGTTAGCAAAGTGCTTTGTGCAAGTCGATGCAAACTACGTACCGAGCTTCGGTCGCGAGATTCTCCCGGTAGATGGTGTTCGGCCAGATACACTTGATCACCTGGAAGATCTCGTACCGGATATTAAACTTGTCGTAAAACTGCGTGTGGGTACCAGTGCTCTCGCATTCAATGTAGAATTTCATAAGCGAGTGCAATAGATGCTTCATCGAAAAATCATTTCCATACAACGTGTCTCCCAAGACACCCTTGGACCGTCCTGGGATAGGCCATATACCATAGAAAAGGATGGTGACGAAGCCGGCTTTGATACCTGGGTTCTTGATATACTCGGAGCTTCTCAGCAAGGCAATGCAGATCTTGACGATTTCCTCGCACTGCGTGGTGGTGATGATGTGCGGCATCCATCGGGTGATGAACTTGAAGTTGCTGACAATGTCTTCGACGAAATACTCGGGCAGACATTGGAACTCTGGAGGCTGTTCTTCGGGAAGTGGCAGTTGCAGCTCATGCTCAGGAAACGATGCACCTGGTGTCACTAGCCGCAAGAGCCAGACGATGACATAGCGCATGAACTGCATGGACCGCGCTTGGGTAGTTTCATCGAGCAGCACGCCTTGAATAGAAAGCATGCTACATCTGCCCCTCTGGATCTCCGCCTTGACCTTGATGATGTGTTGGTCGAATAGCTGCAGTCGCACTGGATTCGACATGTACTTGACTCGCTCAGGCTCCATCTTGGCGAGCTCCTTCTCTAGCCACTTGATGTCCTTTTGCAAGGTAGACAACGTTGCATTGGCAGCTTCAGTACCATAGTGATGAGCAGCTACCGTCAGGAAGAAGACTTCACTGATGAAGTTGTTGGTGCCGGGCACTGTGGTCTGGTAGAATTCGTCCGACGTCTTCTGATCAGCGTTGATCTTGGTTTCATCCGAAACGTCAACGCGTGGAGACCGGCGTAGATAGTCAATGTCGATGCGATCAATCTTAGAGAAGGTAGCATCCATAAAGGGCTCGCACAAGCGGTCCAGGATGACGGTGACATTGACCATGAAACCGTCGGACGAGACGGAGGTTCGGTCCACTTGCATAGCCCTCCGCTTGTGGTTCCTGTTGACTGTCAAGGCAAACCAGTTGAGCATCTTCTCACGGGACTCTTTGTTCTTGATGAAAGCGTTGACAATGTCAAGCAACTCCTCCTGGTGGGTCTGCAAGGTCATGCGAACCGCTCGCTGTGCGTTTGCAATCAGACCCTTGTCCGTGCCCGAGGAGCCGGAAAAGTAATTGAGTGCGACATCGGCCTGCATTGGCGACAGGCGAAAGAAGGGGCCGAGTAAGGTATGGGTTTCGATTTCTTGCGCCTCAATCTCGGTGCGGAGAAAGGTGGGCGACTGTGCCAAGGCAGCGACGAGCGGAGGAAAGCGAATGAAGACGCGCAGCACCAGCATGTACGGCTTGTAGTCCCCATTCATCGAGACCTGGGCCAACCGGCTACTTATGTCCTCCATGGCTTCCACCAGAGCCTCCTTGATACTGTCCTCTTCGCTGATGCGTAGGCTGGCCTCGGTGAGGAAGTCGTAGCAGATGCCTCGCTCGTCGTCGGGTCCAAGGAGCAAGCGATCTGCCAGGGCATTCTGTGCGGGGGCTTCTTCGCCGAACATGTCTGGCATGGTCGCAGCAAACATGCAGTAACTGAAGCACAGCCGGCGAGCTTCCTTGAGAATCTCGTACTTGGGGTCGCTCTTATTGGCTATGCTCTTGAGCTGCCTCGACACACGCTTCCAGCAACCCAGCAGGTAGTCCAAGGCGGTGCCCTGCGAATGGCTTGAGGCTGCCTCTACTATGGCCGAGTCCAACATGTCGGTGGTGAAGCGCAGCGACTTGCCCTCGTCTTCGAGATCGCTCCTCGCGCCTGCAACATGATGAAGCTGGTGCCCATGCGCATCCTGTCTTCGGCTAGGATCCAGCGTTATCCTGAAGATGGCTCCTATGGTATAGTCCTCCCATGATTCCAAGCTAAACTGGGCGGGCTTTGCTGCGGCCTGGGGCGTTGTGGGATCACTACTCGACGATTGGGCGGGCTTTTGCTTGATGGTGATGCGAGGTTTGGGGGCGTCGTCGGTCTTGATGCCCAGCTGAGCGAAGGGGTTCGGTGTCTGTGAGGCTTGGGGTTGGGGTTGGGGTTGTGATGCTGGTGTTGTTGGTGTTGATGCTGGCGCTGGTGCTGTAGATGGGCCTCCTAGTTTGGCCAGTCGCTTTGCGCGAATCTGGGAGACATTTGCGTCAGCGGGTCTCTTGTTGGGTGGACGAGGAGAGCTCACTTTGTCTGCGTCTGAGGTTGCGTCTGGCATCATTGCTGTGCCCTGTTGTTCTGGTGGCTGCTGCTGCTGTTGCTGCTGCTCCATGGGCGGCGGCTGATGCTCCGGCTGGTTGTCGTCCATGGTGGGGGAAATGCAAGTGAGTGTAAAGGACAGAACTGGCGGTGTTGTGTTGTGTTCTTAGCAATGCAGGGCCATAGACGGGACCCGCCGTGGTGGTGGTGGATGGTGAAATGTCCAAGTTGGTAATGCCCAGGTAAGAGTAGGGACGGTGAAAGTCTACCATTAGCACGACGTCAGCCCCGCGGATCGCTTAGGAGAGCTTGGGCCCATGGAACTCGACGCAGCGAGCGCAGCGGGTGCCTCTCGCCAACTCACGTGCTGCCCACTGCCGATGAGATGTAGAGTACTCTTAGGAGTAGAAGACGAGAGAAGGGCGGCGATCTCTTTTCTGTCTTGCAGTGGGTAACAGGGGCTCGATTGGGGGACCTGCCGACTTGTCTCTTGTACATGGCAAAGTCGGAGCGTTAGTAGGTAGAACTGCCGTCTGCATGGATGGCCAAGCAGTCATGGCCGTGGCAACGAATGGATGGATAGACAGTGTTGGCAACATGCATCAGACAAACAAGATGGCAGGCAGAGCGACAAGAGCAACTGCTAGAGCACAACCATAGGTAGAGTACCACACCGACAGGCGGTATGTAGGTAGCCTGTAGGTACCTACCTACAATAAATACCTAGCTACCTACCTAGAGTACAGTATGATCTGTTGGACTCTCCGTCGTAAATGCTGTGGGGGGGGATGCGTGGGGGGTGGAGCCGCGTGTGTATGTACGCCCATGTATGGTTGGCTGGGGGCCCATGGTTGGATGTGCTGGGGTCGACGATCAACAAACGGAGGAACTGTACCATTTATTCATGATGATGATGGTGATGATGATGATGATGATGATGGTGGTGGTGGTGGTGGTGGTGGTAGCCTAGTGATAGTACTCTCGGTAGGTGGTGGAGAGTAGGAGGCAGTCTCTTGTCCCACCAAAAGACAATGATGCTATCGAGTAGAGTAGAGCAGCGTAGCATAGCATAGCATAGCATAGCATAGCTAGACATTCAGGGTGCAACAGAGAGTGAACAGCGCGTGCATGTGACGAGTGGGACGGCGGGCGCATGAGTGAATTGAATGAGTGAATGTACAGTACAGTACAGCCGGTATCTGGCTACCTAGCCGACACCACTCTTGTCGCCCGTTCGACTATACCTTGTGCGCACTCTAGGTACCCGTTCCTAGAGTAGACCGACCAAGGCTATTAGTGATTCCTGCACCCCCGTCTGCCTGTCTTGCTCTTTCGTCTTTGCTCCTCTCTCTCTCTCTCTCTCTCTCCATCATCCGTCATCAACATCAACATCATCATCATCATCATCATCATCATCCACGTCCACACCCATTCAGCGCCCCATCCCACCCACATCTCCCTCTTACTTACAT